ATGTCGAGACGCGTAAGGCCAGCGACTCGTCTAAGAAAGCCCATTTCAGCAGCTTGTTCCCGGGTTCGAAATTTTTCGGTGCTGGTTTCACGACTCATGACCGTAGGGTAAACAGGGGGATAAAGATCGACTTGAACACCGAGAGCATATTTTTTAGATTGAATTCTGCTTTAGCTGAATGGATCGAGCTAGTTAACGCAGAAAGCCACTGCCTACTTCAATTCGTCGGTCGATCTCCCTCAAATTTTCTATCACTAGTAAATTCTACTCGATAGTACTTGAAATTCCCCACCTCCTCTACTGGCACCCCTTGATCTGAAGAGAGCAATGGGCAGCAAAATGATGGGGGGCTTTTCATTTTAGATGCGTTTACTCGCATACCGGTCACGTCGCACTCGGCTGCGAACCTTTCTAGGGAGCACTTAAGATTTGTTTCAGAAGATGACAATTAAACAAGGTCGTCTGCAAACAGCAACCTTCTAGTTCCCACGTCTCCTACACTGACACACTCATCGCTTTGGCTGCTCCTGACTATTCTATTCGTGTATAACACAAAGAGGAGAGGAGGTAGAACGCAGCCTTGCAGAGACCAGTGCCAACGTTGAAAGGATTCCACTTAACACCTTTTCATAATTATTCCGACGTTAAAAATGGTTATTCATGTTTTCTCGCTTTCTCACCAAAGAAATCTCGCCCTCTGTCATTGATGGTAGGTAGTTTCCCTTTTCTTTCAGCCGCGGGGTTTGATGCTGCGCATCGCCTTGAGGAAAGTTCTAACGTTCTTTCAGTCGGTAAACTGATTCGCCATATTAAGCCTTTTGCTGCCGTTTAGGGTGGGCTACCTGTTTGACACCATCCTCTCTTCTGAACTGGGCTTGGGACCGGCTACAACTCCCTCATTCGGGTCAGATGCATGCTGATTTGATGGCGGCATTTGCTTGCTACGTCACCACGATGTCATTGGGGCTTGCGCCATTTTTTCACAGCCAACCTTGCCAACAGTTATCTCGCTGCACCTTTATAGCACTGTCGCCACGCTGTTTGTGACTGCTTCTTCGCCAAATCTTCCGCTTATTTCGCAACGATCCCTCATATCTGAGGGTTGTCTCACCTCTGCACAACCCGTGGAAACGTGCAGCGGCATGAGGCCTTGGCTCATCACAATTATTGAATCGATACTCCAAATAACAACTGTCGTGCGTAAATATCTCAAGTAAAAATTTTCAATCTCTGTTCACTGTTTCACATGGTGTCAAGTTCTATGGATTGTTACTCATTTCTTAATGAAAACTTTTACAGACATTTTTCACCTTCTCGCTCCCATTTAGTGCGAAACTCTAATCTCGGGTGAGAAAGTGTACTCCTCAGAAGATTCCTTAAATACCATTTTTATCCAATAAAGCGCAAAAGTGATCAGCAGCATTAGATCAGTAACGCGGATCATCTTGACCAAGCGACATTACAAGTGACCAATGGCAAATCAAGATGTAGAAGAATCGATTAGACAGAACCATTGGCAGTGTCGTTCAGTCACTGACGAGGGCGCTTCGGGCGTAATGTTCAATATCAGTCGAGGATCAGGATCATTAGGAAAACCTCCTGAACTTCCTTCTGTCCCAAAATCCGAAAGGAACAACAGACATTGATTATCGATGGACGAACATAAAAACGAGTGAATTGAACGAATGGCTATATTAACGAAGGAATTAACGGAGGTGCAAGAATACGATCACTTAAACGTGAAAGGATGGGTGAACATTCTATGGATGGATGTTGGAACCCGAACACAGCGTTTTGTGGTATTTTGCATAAGGAATTTACTTCGACAGTTATAACATGCGATATGCTCGTTTCAGTAGTTAGAGCCTCTAGTCAGCAACTTTCGAACAATTTTTCGAAACAGTCTGAATCACTCGGCACTTAATTACAAGCTCATACGAAATGGAAGAAAAGGTTTTAATAAGTGACTGCAGCACGACCTACGTTTTACTTTAGGGGTCGCGGAGGGGGACTGTGGCTTTTCTACAGGCGCCGTAGCGTACATCAACTCTTTGTAAGAAATCGTTTTCGCCTCTGGCAAGTTTTCGGTGGCTACTTTGCAACTGATGTCGTCACTGGCGACGCCATTTTCCACCGTATCCTGGTTCAATCCCTGAAACGCGGAGACGCAAGTAAAAAACAACCAACGTGTTCTTCAGACAAAATGTACCTGCACCGATATTAGACTGGCGACACTGCGCATGTCTTCGTCCAGCGCATTGCCCTCTTTGATCACGAGGCAGCTGAGCACCAGGTGCAGTACGCACTGCTCTAGCTCATCGCGCAACGGCTTCAGCCGCAGTTTCAGTTCCGTGAGGACACCGGGGACTTCGTTGATGAATAGGCGCATGTTAATCTTCACCGAAGCAATCGGCTTATGCTTGCCGGTCATCGTCACCTCCTCTACGATAAAGCACCATTCCTTATCGTCGAACGTGTCTCGTCGCGTGTCTCGATACAAAGTTGTGACGATATCTAGTATTTCCGCGTCCTTCGACGGCCATATGATCAGACCGCTGTAAGGATCGGTGATCGTCGGTTCCCACTTTCGTAGCTAAAAAGTTCAGATATTACTTACGGATCATATTATATTGTTCTTGAACCTAATGGGTAGAAATCCATCGATTCTGTCATGTCATCATCGACCCTTAACCTCGTTCATATGTATTTCACACTATAACTTTTATTTCTGATCATTTGGCAATATTCAACAGGTCAAACACTAGTCACTGTTTAACAGTAATTTAGTACACAATAAAGCACATCTGAAAGCGTGTTAAGAAATTGCAGCAGGATGAATTAATGACTACCTTCGGCCTTGAGATGAATAGTAGAGGCTTCAAACCCGCGAATGATACCTACCATCAGACGTATGGCGTTCAAATGGGCTCCAGGGTAAGTGTTGTTTTAGCGGATGTTTATATGGACCACGTGGACGTGAAAGCCCCCAAGGAATGCCCGGCAGAATTCCGATTCGTTTATGTTATTTTCCTACTATTCCAACGAAAAGAGGACGAATGACAAACGTTGGAATGTTTCGTCAATTATATGAACTGACAGGATAAAAATGGCCGAATATGCTGTACCACTGAAATGGAAGCTAACCATTCCATATCCTTTCTAGAGTGTTAATCAAGAGGACTCGAACGTTTGAATTTAAGGATTCCGTATATCAGAAACCCACATATTTTAATCGATACCTACATCCGACGTCATGTGTCCCTCTCGGATTATATAGGAACGTAGTGAAAAACATGCTTTTGCGAGCCAAAAAGATCTGCACTAACAGTTCTGGCCTAAGCGGAGAAATCCAACATCTTCACCAAGCGTTTCTAAACAACGGTTACCGACGAAGGATCCTTGATGAAGAACTTCTGCAGCCTAACTCTAATTTAAAGTTAGCCAGATCATATGGACCAATGGTAATTCTACCGTTCATGCCCCAGGTATTCCAACGTATTACGAAGCACTTAAATAAAATTGGGTTTAGAGTCTACCACAAGACTGGTAGAACACTGAACAACATTTTATATAAATGCATGCGATTAATAACTCGGAAGATGTGCTAAATACGAAGTCCAGTGCAGAGACTGCGAGAAAGTGTCCGTTGGAAAGACCAACCGGAAATTGAATATTCATATAAAACAGCCCCTTCCAGCGGTCCGCCTTGGAGAGGCTGACAATTCTGGCATTGCCCAGCATTTTACTGAAGAGTATTCGTTCTGTCAGACCAATGTTTCTATTATAGACAAAGACCACAAAGACCAATCTAAATTAAGTCTGCTGAAAAAGAGTCCTTGCATATACTGGCAATGAAAAACCTTATGTGTAATGAATACGCATTTTCTGCTGTCATCAATGAAGGCTGGGACACAATCACAAAACTGATGCACAAAATCAGGTCAAAATGACAAAGATCCGATTTATTTTGATCTGACATTGCACGTTGTTCTGACAATGTAACAATGATTTGACTGTGTGAAAGTCAATTGAAAAATCGGCACTCTTCGCTTGTTGGACATAAATTCCTTTAAGCTGACAACTGCGCTCAACTTAACCCTGATAATACTGCAGTTTTACCAGCACTGAAATGCGCTGGCATTGAACTGTTTACATCAGCTGTATTTGGTGCCCCGAGCCATGAATCATTCAAACGACAATGTATAAGCAGAAATAAAGAATAAAATTTCTGTAAATAAGGCGTGTTCACCGGAAATGACATCAAGGCTTAACAAGAAGGCGTTCAAGGCAAGAGGAATTACACAGGTAATATTAACAATATAATTACTGCTCGTCTGTTGGAGAGAACTTGAACTTTAAAACTTGAAGACACACTTTAAACATTTTTAAAGGGAAGACGACGAGGACCACTGAGCATTTCCAAATAAAACTAATAAAGTGTTACTAAGAAACAAACGTCCCGTCAAAACTGCACTGTGAAGTAGTATTCGGCTGGTAGTAAATCATACGATGCATAATGAAAGGAACACAGCAAACACGGTGACGAAATTATGAACAAATGACTGCTGTATTAATAGAACAGAAGTACTACAAGTCCTAAAGTGCTAAAGATCCATTTGGAGGGTATCACAGCGTGAGGATAGCTCAAGAATATAAGTACGAACGAGTCATACAGATCATTTTTATAAAAAAAATTCTGAAATAAATTAAACCAGAAATAAATTTAAGTACTGGTGAGCATTAATACTTTAATACCGAACCAAGTGGCATTATTTTAATGCTAAGAAAGTACTTTAAGCACTGAGTTGAGTACTTTTATGCGGGAATTTAGTACAACACTCGACAAGTACTTTACGGGATTACCACGAATATAAAATTTACTATTGACAAGTTCTCTAACGTTCCGAATCATGTCGAGTGTTTACCAAAATACTGTACGAGAAGTACCATCACTTAAAGAATAAATCTGCTCAATGAAGGACACAACGGAGAATACCTGCAGAAGAGAAACAGCAGAAGTAGCAAAAAACTTAGAAACAATCTCTACAGTCTAAACGGTGCAACGAAACTTGAATAATCCATCGTAAAAGTTATTACTTCGTAAGTACCGCATGTTAGAGTATCAACAAAAACGATTTTTTTGAAAATCACACATCTGGAAACGCAGCAACGAAGAAATTAAGTCAGAAGTCGATTATGCGTTTACGCCAGTACATTAGCACTTTTTTATTGAAATAGTACTATAACACAATATTAGTCTCTTCATAATGCAACTGCAAGAAAAACAGGAACGAAGCAGAATGCTCTATTATAAGCAATGTATCGATATTGTGTTGAGTTTGCGGACAACAAAAAATTTGAACAAACTAATAAAACGTTCCTTGATTGATTTAAGATTTGTCTTAAGGACAGCAGTATAAATTGCACTTTCAGCATTATTGCAGGCCTCATTTTTCAAGTTCCCCGCTTCAATGGCCAGCGACTGTCACAATAATGGCACGCGATTATATACGGTAATTAAGATATTTAGGTAGTGGCATAAAGGTTAACACAGGTGGATGGGATTCTTCTTCGAATTTTTGATTTACATAACAGATGAAGTCTTAACGGCCTAATTATAAGATTAGTTTGAGAAGAAAAGTATCACGGTGCTGCATTACAACCCCAAAATACTTAGCTGCCTGATAGCCTGTAGGGCATTGGGCATGTGAGCAACTGCGTAACTGCGTTTAGTATTATTTGAGGGCTGCTGACAGGGGGCTAAAACTGTCCCCATCCTTGTCACAACTTCCACGTACAATTAGGAAGTTGA